AAATCTTGGAAATTAGCGAAAATTCTTATGATTTATAAAAAGGGAAACCGATCAGAACCTAACAATTACCGCCCTATTGCTTTATTATCTGTAATTAGGAAGTGTTTTACCGCAATACTCACTACTCGTTTTCAAAACTGGATCTCTGAGCAGGATTTAAATTCGAAATTCCAATATGCATTCTCCAAATCAAAAGGTACTGAGTTGTCAATATTCCTATTGACTTTAATTATTCAAATATACCTTCACAAAAAACGTAGAAAAATATTCTCGGCATTCATCGATATATCTAAAGCTTTCGACTCCGTGCATGTTCCTACTTTGATATATAAATTAAAAAAGAAAGGAGCTGGATCTAAATTCTGCAATTCAATTGAAAATTTATTTTTATCATATACAGTTAATATAGTTCATAATAATCACATATTTCCGAATTTAAAAATACATCGTGGAATACTCCAAGGAGAACCTTTATCGCCTCATTTATTTAATTTTTACATAAGAGAGATTGATGATTTATATACAAATGAAAATGAAGGAATTCTTATAAATGGCCGTACTTATCATTATATTTTATATGCAGACGATCTTGTTTTGTTAGCCCCAACTCGGATTATTCTACAACGTAAAATTAATGCACTTAATGATTATTTAAAATCTATTTTTTTATCTATAAATATTGACAAATCAAAAATTCTTATATTTAGAAATAATGTGAAAATATCTAATCAAGAAAAAAAGTTTTATCTAAATAATAAACCGATTGAAGTAGTAAATCAAATAAAATATTTGGGAATATACTTTAACTGGAACGGCCAATTTCAATACCATTTAAATTATCTTACTAGTAAAATTAATCAACTTATAAATAATGTTATTTATTTATCATCTAAGCTAAGGATTTCCAACCTAAAAATTCATTTGAAAATGTTTCATTCATTTATTGCTCCAGTATTTTTTTATGCCAGTCCTGTTTGGGCATTAGACTATTATAAATATTTGGAAAAATTCCATATCATTTTTCTGCGTAAAGTACTTCATATTGAACGCACGGTTCCAGGTTATGCAATTAGATCAGAGACTAATAGATTCCAACTTTTTCCATTTTTTTTGAAACGTTTATTCAAATTTTATCTTCGCATATTAAATACTGATGACGATAATATTAAATTTCTATTTCAATTAATAAGCAACCAAAATGGAAGCCTATCAACTAAAAATGTTTCGTGGTATCAAAAATTCGTTAAAATAATACAATCTTATGGAATTTCTACTTTATTACTCAATTCAACCGAAGACAACTGTAAACACGCATACTCCTTAATGATGAATTCTGCTTTATCTCAATCTGTTATCAAGGATCAAGATTCCATTTTAAATTCGACATATCACTATTGGTATCAAAATATGTTACATTTTCCATCAAGTTCGAATATTATTACAACAAATACTAATTTAAATATTAAGCGCACGCTGATTCAGATACGTCTTAATTACAATTCGTTACTGATTGGCAATGTATATATTGATTTTTCCAAGAAATGCTACTGGTGCAAGTCTGAATTTTTTAATATTTACCATATTCTTATTGAGTGTCCAAAGATTGAAGAAGCGCAATGTAAATTTAAATTAAAAGAAATTTTTGATTTAAGTCAAGAAGAAAATTTCAGAACTAATCTAGAAAAAATTCCGTTATGTAAAATGTATAATATTCATAACTTTTTTGTTCATATTTTAAAAATTTTGAAATATGATGTTGTAAATTGAATGATTAATATGTTATGTTTATCAAAAATTATGTAACCAAATATTTAAAAAATGTTTAAATAAGTATTAATTATCTTTTTGTAAATCTCTAATGCTAACCCCCTGTAACAAGATTTTTTCTTACTACAATAAAGCATTTGTATATAATATGTTTGTAAGTTATACATTATGATTTGAACATTTTCTCATAAATTAAAGTTAAAGTGAATACAGTACATGGCAGCTACACACTAAGGTGTTGATCTAACGAGTGTTGGATTAAAAGTTTTAGATCCATGAGATAAATGACAAGTATATTTAAAAAATTATCTTTATAAAGAAAACGCGAATGTTTCCACGTTTACATTGTTCATTACACACTTAAAATTTTTATTTATTCGAGAATTTGCAAATTCACTTATCATGTCCGCACGACATTTGCTGTAGGTAAATTTTTACGCGTTCATTTTACCATGTATTCCACATTACCATGATAAATTAGAAAACTTTTTCAGGTTCCCATACTTCACTTCGGACAGAAACATCGTTCTCTACTCAAACTAATTTACTGGGCTCCTTTTTGTTCTGCCGGTATTAGGCGTCATAGTGACCAGCCATATGAGTAGTATAATAATGTCGGTTTTGCCCCAAAAATTTAAAGTTTATAAAATTAAATAAATTTAATCAAAATCAATGGTAAAATTCACTCANTATATATATATTATTATAATAGTGACCAGACATATGATAAAAATTCGAATAACTGATTGAAGAAAAATTACAATAAAGAGAGCAGACATCGAAGGGCGGATCCAAGATCTATGATCGAAGGATCACAGAAGGACGGATCTCCGCAGAAGAACACTCGCCATAAAAGCAGACATGGTCTTTGCCATATAGTAGCGCGGGCTGTGTTAGAGAAACCAGCAAACTCTCTCCAGCCCATTGCTGTCTCCAGACCTCTCTGAAAGTAATTTCTTGTATACAGACGATATCGGTCGACTACAGATATTATTAATATAATCAATTGTAAAATCTGTCTCAGCCAATAGAGGTCGCGAACTAGATATAGTTAGATCTTTGTAATCCATCATTATTCTATATTTGTTAATTAAACTTTTGTTTGTTATTCGTTAACCTGTCAGTTCACCTATTTTATTACAGAAATCAGTTTCTATCGACGAAATTACACACGGCTCTCCCCACTAAAACGTTAGTTGAAACCCTCCTTTTTAAAGCCACCCAGTGACAATTGAGCGGGTCCTACCGATCCGAAGCCGCTAAAAGAATTTTATTCCAGCACTAGTTTCGAATAATCTTTTAGCGAATAATCCCAACGGATTTTCACATATATATTATGTAAGCACGTGAGCTCGCCGTGTGTGTGTGTGTGAGCTTGAAAATAGAATATAATACCTTATGAACAAAAATTTAATTGTGAGATTAGCAGTGGGCCACTGGGCTCATCGCAAATGACCACTTACTCTGCAACAGGTTGGTAAAACCCATTCTCGGCTTGTCGGATGGCTAGGAGGGCAAAAAATTTAGTGGGGAGTGCGTCGGTAAGTCGGCAGGTGTCCTTCAGAGACAGGAGACAGGTTTAAAAACTAAACAAGCATATATTTATATGACTAAGCTAGAATACATAGGTTAAATGCGATTTAATAAGTTCACTATACAAAAGGGACGCTCTAATAGCTTTACCTGCTAGTCTGAGAGAGAGTTCACAAAGCTCTAAAAAGTACAAATACCTCTATGCGGATATCTCTAATATGCGTTCGTTGAATATGTTCGTTAATGGCGATGGAAGTTCAAATGGCTCTGGTTGGTAGTATGTTCTTTCGGTCCGGAGTATGGAGACAAATATGGCACATCTACCTAGTATAACTTCCGAAAGATCGCGCGGAGCTTCAGGGGACTCGAGCTTTTATACGTTATTCGTGGGAAATGAGTCACGTAATCGACTTTTGTTGACACTTACGGTGCATTCCGATCAACTAACTGTCAACTTTCCCACCTTAATGTGAAAACAATCGGTGACCTTCGACATACTTTTCACCAAGAGTGTTTTTTTTAGTTGTTAACAAAGATTTTTCCGACATCGGCGTAAAAATCGCGGATTTCACATAATTATTTAGTGTAATCCAATAATAAGCCTATTCCTAGTGCAAAACTACTGAAAATTCATGTTTATGACACGTCGCTGTGTTACCAGGGAAGATGTATATTCCAAATTAGCTATGCATATTGCGCCTTAGTTTTGACTATTTATGTCTATTTGCCCTTAATAAAAATTATACGTTGGCATATGTAATTTCGATTACATTAATTATTACGACTGACGATTTTTTCTAGTCAAAGTACAAGTGAAAACGTTTCAGATAGTTTATCAGAATTGATCCTGAATTTTTTACTTACTAATACTATAATTTTTACGTAAACAATTTTATTTTTATTGTTAAAAAGTTTTACGAGAATATACGTATTTTTTCAAGCCCTTTTTTTGGAAGGAATGTTTGCACAAAATACTTGTAAGCTAGATATTGCATATGAACACATGTACTGTATATGTAGACACTTTATAGCTATTCAATTTAGTCAATATGTAATAAATATTTTTGTATAACCAATTATGCCAATAATTGACTGAAGTGTGAAAATTGCCATTGTAAATACCCTTAATAAATACTAAAGTCGAATCTTCTCTATAAAAACTAAAGAAACATATTGTTAGAGCTAGAAATTGTCATGTAATGTAGAACACAAGTAGTTACAGTGCATTCGTTATTCTAATTAATCATGTGAGCAACAGAGAGGTCTTCCGCATATTAGATTGTATAATTTTTCTTGAAATAGCGAGTTTCTTAATGAAAAATAATATAAAATTATATTTTTACTTATTGATAATATCTGGATACTGTATTAATAATTTGAAACCAATGACCGAACACAAGATAAACAGTTTAAAAGGTTCTATAGTGTTCGAACTTTAGAAATAGTTAAAATTGAAAATAAAAACGAGAAAACACACCTGTTGTTTATATAGAGTAAAGGTATAGCAACAAGGATTTGCTGAAACAAGGCGCTTAAAAACCATAAATGTTCAAGTTTCTGTAAATATAAAAAATATATACGTAATAAATTATATATTTAAAAATGCTATATAATGTATTATATTTTTATTTTTACAATGGAATTTGAAGCATTGTATTCTATGAAATTATTGTAATGAAAAACATATTTGGGCCAATTGTCTGCAATTTCCTGTACATGGTTTAACAGGTCATTCCAATGAGGACCATCTCCTAGAAGAGGTAAAATAATCGTCGCTGCTACAAGGCAAAATACTGGCACTGTTAATCTGCAATAAAAAATGTATACTGAGTAGATTAATTCAAAAATGTTCATCAAATAACATTACATTAATAAGATTCCAGTTTAGACGTAGTCGTTTCTGAAATCATAACTGAGCATATTTAAATTTATAAGGTTATAACTAAAGCCGAAAGTTTTCGTTAGGTTTTGTGCCTTAAATCGCGGCGAAAATCGCCAGTTATTTATCTCAAAAACGAGTTTAAACGAATTACACTTCGATATTTCAAATAAGCCTCGCTTAAACTGTGACGTCGATTGTCCAATATCGATGAATATAATGAGAACTAACGTTCAAGTCGATTGCTATTAAACGAGCAAATTCGATATTAACTTTATCACTTAAATTCATATCAAAAGACGTAAATTTGATAAGATCAGGATTGCTTGAAAAATTTTTTTCAATATTTGAGAAAATATAGAATAACCAGAAACAATTTCTTTCGCATTTTCAATTGCTCGTAGTTCGGCTTGTTTAGTTACACCGAGTCATTGTTCTTCCGGTGATATTATATTTGATAGCTTGACGAGATTACTGAGATCAAATAATTCTTTCTTGAGGTTAACATTCTTCTCTTGCAATAGTTTTACCAAAACATTTTTAGCATTTGAATGAGACTTTTGTTTGTAGTTGAAAATGAAGCGCTCAACAGTATCAAAATTATCGACATGGTACTTTGCAGCGTTTAACCAAGACCTTCGCGAGTGACAATTGATTCTGGAGGAAGATTACTAATTCCAGTTGCATTCTTAAAATAATTTTGTTATTTTCCTGAATTCATAAAAAAACTTCTTTATTTCTGATATAAGCAAATTTCTGAATCCTAAATGCGACGTTACGTAAGGCATGAGCGAGACACGTGATGTGATGTACTGTACATTTAGAAAAATCAATGAATTTTTCTTAATTACTGCCTTCAGCATGTATTTTGCTCGATCTGTCTCTATTAACTTCAGTTATGAATATGTTAAAACATTTGGCCACAATTTTCTAGACAAGTTGAGTATACTTTCTTGTTTTATAATGTTGTCAACTATTGAGTGAAATGTCACATCAATTAATATTGATTTTGCTTTCTCGCCAATCAATTTACCTACAAGCACGTTGACCACTTTACGTTGCACTTTGTCACTAGTTTCGTCAACAAATGAAATAGACATCCTGTCCATTAATTTCGTCTTTAACTTTTTCAGTTGAAGATAGTTTTTTGATGTGTTTGCAGGGCGAAAAAAATAAATAACGCAACGAGACTTCGAATAAAATCATATTTTATCTAAATTATGAGAAAAATCGCGAACAGCAGCATCAATTTCAATAAAATAAACGTTTCGCTAAAAAAACTAATTACAATAAAAAATACCTGCAACAGTTTTGATCGTTTTCTGCATATATTTCTCAAAGAACAATCTTATTTAATTTTAATGCACTGGTGAATGCTTCAACCATTTGTAAAGTACTATATTATTTTTCCGACTTTTCCAACAATTATCGATACGATTGTATGCCGGAAATAGCCGTTACCCTACGGTTACTTTACGATTCTCGTTAATGTGCCAGGCCTGGAGTTTATTTAAATCGGTGCACGCTTAATGACAAAGTTATTAAAAACAATTTAATATTTAATAAAATTCTAGTGATAACTATATTCAAAATTTAGTAAAAATTCAATAATTTATTCAACGTAAATCAATAAAAATCAACCCAACAAAAATCAAATCAATCTATTTTTTAACTTAATTCTACTCCCCTTTGGAATTTGACAAAAAATTCAAAAGACTTAACTTATGTACAATAATTCTTTATGAATTAAAGGTCCTAATCGTCACCTCAATATATTAGGAACAGTGTTGCCGTTTTTAGTACATTTGTACTTTTCTGGTACATTTTGCCCTTTCCAGTAAATTGAAAGTACATTTAGATTTTTAGTACATTTTCAGTACATTATAATATTTCAAGTACCATTTACGGTACAAAATAATATTTCACGCCTTAACGAAAAAATAAGAAAAAATTAGTTTAATAAAGTCTCACTAGTATCACTGCTTGCTAATTTAAATTATCTAATCACAACATAGATAGTTGCACGGTCTTGACTCAGTGGTCTGCACATTCTCATCAGGACCTTGACAAAATTTTTCATGCCACGTGGTCCAAACAATTTAACTCCGTCAAACAAAAATAATGGACAGGTAAGGAAATAAATTATTTTAACTTTTGTCGTCAATAATATCAAAATATCCGTTAAGTCAGAATCAAATTATTACAGAAAATAGTTTTGAAATTGTACGAGTATAAATAATATAAATACTTTTATATTATTTTCTACCACTATAATATAATTCTTAAATTATGAACTTCAATTTTAGTAATCGTAGTAAAAGAAATAACGGTTAATTAATGTTACGTGTGGTTCCAAAATGGGCGCGCTTCCGACTGTTCCAAGGTCTATATAAGAAGGCCAGGACGCGTGATCTACTACTTGAGCCGCCATTTTGGGTTTTTTTGAGTCGCATGTTTTAAGCAAACAAGAATATAATAATATAACATAACAAATTTATAATAATTTTTTTAAAGCACGATTGGTTATAAAATTAAGATGAAATTCAATAGTATTTTTAATAAATGTTGTCAATGTAATGCTCATTTTATAATAACTAATAGATGTGTAGATATTTATAAATAGCTTTCAAAAAATTCCAAAAATAAAATTTTAAATTAAATTATTTGACAATAAACTATATATATTACGTCATATATATATATATATATATAGGCACGTAAACAAAGTATTCATAGAACTAGTACATTTTGAAGGAAAATAGTACATTTTTTGAAGGCGCTTCAGTACGTTTTGAAATTTCATTGCGGCAACACTGACTAGGAACCTTTTTTCTCAAGTCTCAAGACTGTCTCTAATCTTTGATCCACAAATCGAATAACTTCAAAATCGCCTTGGAACTACTTTATCCTATCGGACACCTCTCTCTCGTTTGCTGATACGAAACTCACCACGCTCGTTCCTAACAGAAGCTAACCTCGTCATCTTCATTTGAGGTTCGGTCTTCATACTGTGAGGTGACGTCACAATTCTGAGTGAGATCACTCCCCTCATTTACATACTTATTTGCTAACAATAAAAACTTCGTTTGTCTGGCAGTGTATTTTCCGACAATACTCGCTAACCGCTTTTATATCATTTTTTTGACAATTTTCGAGATGTTTTATTTTTTAAGGTTTAGCAAATTCCTAAGTTGTGCTTGTGGGGGTCTTCCCCCCCTTTTGTCGGAGCGGACTTACCTTTTGCGCTCGGGAGCGCAAGTGTGAGCGAATTTTATCTACGGCGCTTTTCTCTGGTCGGTGAGTTGGTTTCTCTTCTATTTTTAAGTTTTTAAGGTGAGTGGTGAGGATAACTTCGTCCTAACAAAACATAAGCCCCAAACAAAAATAGAATAAAAGCAAAAATAAAAATAACTAAAAAATAACGCTCGGACTTGGTTCCTTACATATTTCTTTATAAAAATCGCTTCCATCTTCAAACAACAGTCAGTTAAAGTCCAGATACGTATACCGTCAGCGGCTCATCTCTGATTCCAGCAAACAAAAGGAAACAGTGGGGACGCACGTTCTAACCTAACCTAACCTATTTTAATAAATTACCATAATTATTACCAACCAAATTATCAGAATAGGTTAGGTTAGGTTAGAACGTGCGTCCCCACTGTTTCCTTTTGTTTGCTGGAATCAGAGATGAGCCGCCATGACGATATACGTATCTGGACTTTAACCCAACAGTCTTTGTGACTGTAGCGTGTTATGTTTCTTGTGTTTTGCACTGTTGAGATGTTCCGAAAGTCGTTTCTTAATTGTATCACGTTCGTAGTTGACGTGTATAGAGCACTTAACACAGAGAGTTGTTTTTTTGTACGGTAAAATATATTACCACCTTAATCACGGAATCAATTTTAAACTCAATTGACTGTTTTCTAGACATTTTTTGCACGAAGCATATGGAAAACTGACGATTTCGCTAGTTAGGATGAAAATTGCCAAAAAAAACTTAGTGATATTGAGACCTGATTTTTAAATTAGTGCTAATTGAAAGATTCTCATTCCAGAAGAATATAGCTGAGAAAAACGCCAAAAGCAAAAATTTTCCGCTATAGTTATAACTATCATTACTAGAACATATTGTTGGAGGCTGACTAATGTCCAAGAGAATGTCCAAGAGAAGATAAAACAGAACTCTGGTAGTTGATCGCTAGATAATGCCTCATCAGATGAAAGACTCTAGTTACGCTGACCATGTGGAATATTTTAGGTTTAGTTCATGTTTCTGTGAGAATCTAGCCTGGGGTACAGGGTAGTTTATTACTCCTGTATCACTTAATAGGCAATCTATTCCGTGAGAATAGTTCTCGGTCGTCTACAAGAATGGCTTTTCCTAATCTAAAGAAAATCGAGTGCGGAGGGACTTACAATTTTATATTTAATTTAAAACGGAACTAAAGAATTTCACAATTTTTCGTTCCTACGTCAGGATTACTTTGACACCAGTTAATCGAATTTACATTCGCGGATTAACACGCGATTTGATATGATGTGGATTTGATTCAGAAATTTATTAAGAGACATTTCTTTAACAATAATAAAAAAGAATTTAATAAACTGAAATAAACAAAATCATACAAAAAATAAAAAATGTTAAATAGTAAAAAACAATCGATTTAGATAACGAATAAATCAAAATATACGCGCCGAGAGAGAGCTCACAAATTTCAGTTATAAACATTCTACCTCTTAATTGACTTTATCTTCCTCTTGATTTGTCGATTTTACTTTATTTTTCCAGTTCTCTGACTTCGGTTCATGGAGAGGTCTTGATAGGCACAAAATAAAATATATCTTCCGTAATTCTAACCAAACTTAACCTAACAGGGAAAAATTATGACTATGTACGTTGGCCTTCTGGATACGATACTACTCCTAACTAAGGAGTAGTAGTAGCCTTAGGAGTTTGAATGTACTATGTCTTCCCTTCGTGGGATATTCTGGCGTACTCGCCGAATTCTGCTAAACTTTGACTATATCTCTTGATTAGCGACCAATCAGCATATTTTTCTTCACCCACGTGAACGGATGAAAAGGGGAATTATTGAGGGGTCGGCAATTCCCAGGGCGGTGAGATTTTTAATAGATAAGGGAAAAACAAAGGATGCTTCAGTTTCCGTTAAAGGAAGTGACTGTTTTATCAGTTTTCCCACGTTAAAAAACTGTTAATTTCACACCAAAATGAAAGAATATTTTTCTACAATAATTTAATTTTATTTTTAAATTGTTACTTAGATCCAGGACTATTCGGATCTCGCATTTCTAACACATGAAAATGACCTTGTATAAAGTCATTGCTGTAGGCATATGTCCATCGTTCATGAGATGTGTTGCCGTATCCCACCAAACAGAGTTATATTTATTCCACATATTGCTGGAGTTAATGTAATTTTCCAAACAAAGTTATATAAACAAAAACATTGGTCAACAAGTGATGCAAGTAAAAAAATAGTTAATTATATTGTATACGAAAGCAGGGGCGGACTGGCCTTAAAATTTTTGTGTGGAAAATTTATTACCAGCCCAGCCCATAAATAAAAGAATGTATTTTTTTCTATTTATATTTAGGCCCTAAATATATTCAAAATACAACATTGACAAAAATTACAATAAGCACAAGTCTATATTCTACAACATTAACTTTTTATTTAGAAGTTTACTTTGTTCAACAATAATATTAACGACATCATCAGAATGTATTTCGTTTAAAAAATCCTTCTCCACTGACATTAACATGAAGGCTTCTTGATTTTCTTGAGAGATACTTATAAGTATCTTAGCCTGCTTGTAATTAATTTTAACATAGCTTTCTTCACGGAACACTTGTGTTACAGACATAGATAATAGATATTTGTATTCTTGACCAAGTATAGAATAAGTGGCACTTAACATGTTATATCTGAATAATATATTATAACAACAAATAGAGCAATTTTTGCAAGCAATGCAGTAAGAGGATAAAATCGCATCTTTATTAGTTTCTACTTGATCATCAGTAGAATGTTCATTTTCGTTTAATTTTATAAAAGTTTCATTGACATTTTCCTTTAAAATATTCCATGACGATTTAAAATGTTGCAATTCTGAAATAATATTGTGTTGAGTAGCTACTGGATTAAACTGTATTAAAATACTGCTTAATTTTTGAAATGCGTTTTCATGAATATTTGGTGACGGTCCCGTAAATTTTGGTCTAATGTGCTTTGAACTCGCTGTAAGATGACAGCTGAATTCTCCCCTGTTGCTCTTCCTCCAACCTTCCATGATCTAGAATCTAGATCGAGGACTTGTGAATTTGGCCTGGGAATGCGACAATTAAATCGTCTTACACTCATTCATGTTTACGAAATAAATCACCGATTTATTAGCTTTAGCTCGACAACCAGTTTCCCATTGGAGAGGTAGTAAGGTCCCGGCCTCACACCACAAAATAGATTATTTTTAATCAAATCGTTTGGAATATAGAGAAATTATTATTGAATAACATTTTTTACTTACCTAAAATAAAGGAAATAATATAAGTGGCCACTAAATTTGTCATGACTACAATCAACGCTTTGGTGGCTAAGTACAAAACTAATAACTCGCATTTTCATAGTTTAGTATTAAGATTCATAGAAATGGTGAATAGTTTCTAGCAGTGTAAACAAATGACCAATTTTCTCTGTTTAGAAGGCAGTTTTGATTATTTTTCTCCTAGGATGCTTTCTGTTTGGGCCGAATCGGGCTAATGTAGTGTTTGACTCGGATCGGACGAACTAATTTAACTTCGGATACGGGTAGGGCCGGTAAAATGACACAGGCCTACACATAAACTTATATTATACCTAAAAATTGAAATTTACCTTACTTAACAAAAAAATAAATGAATTTTTTAAAATTAAACTTAAACAAACGGTACATTATGTACATATTTATAAAAAAACGTCTCAAATTGTATACGGCCCATGTGGAATTTTCCACATTTTCCACATGGCCAGTCAGCCCCTGTACGAAAGCCACATAACTGATAATAAGAACTTTCCANGTACATATTTATAAAAAAACGTCTCAAATTGTATACGGCCCATGTGGAATTTTCCACATTTTCCACATGGCCAGTCAGCCCCTGTACGAAAGCCACATAACTGATAATAAGAACTTTCCAACAAGGTCGGTATTAACCACTAAAAACGATAAAAGTTTTTAGAGAGAGTCGATAAGCTTTGAAATTACGAAGATTTTATTTTAAAATTTTACACGTCTTTTTACTCTGAAATATGTCTTCGCAAAATTATATAGACATGCTGTTCGGAATATGTATAAATTGGTAGATAGAATAAGCTTATTATCATTAATACTCGGGTCATTACTCAATATTATACCCGTACTCCTGTAATTTTTTGTTTAAAACTTTATCCTTATTAAGTTTCTTAAGGATGTCTGTTACTCGAGTGTCGGCATACTTTATCAATGACCTCTCTTACCCTCCTACTCGACCTGACAAGCCGATCCCGTTACCCGGAAAAACGCGCCCCGAAAGTAAAACGCCATCCACAGACGACGTGAGCGGTTTTCGTCAAACCGTCGCCAGTAAACGGTTTATGGCGCACGCATTAACCCCGGCTACTCACAGGATAAACAGAATTATACTCTCTAGCATTAAAACTAAGAAACTGGCACATCTGAACCAAACCATCAACCATTCATAAAATAGAAAGAATTATGGAAGTTTTAAGACATTGTGCAATTTTCACCCGTAATTTTTTCGTTTAATTTTGTGTACCTTACTATTTGAAACATGTCAGTCGTTGGGGATGCACTATAAACTCAAGAAAGTTTAATGAAAACCAGTGAGCCAACGTATTGCCGTCTTTCGTTTCGATTCTGAGTAAAGTTTATATTTAAAACAATTTTTCTTCAAATTTTGCACTTTTTTTGCACTATATCTGAACGAATTATCAACATATACAAATAAATATTAAATTTTGGAATAAATATAAAATTTTCACACCTGATGATTTTCTTTCCCAATAAGACGAAAATATCCATTGCAGATTTCACACGGCTCTGGTAGGAATACGAGAGAAGAAAACCACTGGAATTTGTTTTAAAAAAATCATTATGAATTATCCTACGTCTAGTTGTTTTAATTTTATACTAACAATACATTAATGTTTTATCAAATTCTGTAGTATAAAATTATTTATCGCGCAGAATATTTTCAATAATAATGCTGTAATGGTGCCTTTCACAATAAAGAGTCTGCTCACGACTCGAAGAACAATTTAGATTGACCATTTCGTTGCCTGTAGACTTTCTTTGTTTAAGCGTAACGGCTACTAATAAGTTAACTTATATAATCTTACAATATAATTATTATATAATAATTACAACAGGAGCAATTGCCTTATCTTTGCGTTGATTTCAGATGCATCACTTGGTTGCGCCACTGAGTGGCAAAATTCAGTGGTCTGTCTGAAAACGGCCTAATATTAAGTTTCTACCAATTGTAAATTGGTGTAAGAATCTTTAGAGTAATTCAGTATATAAAACAATTTATCATGATTTTACAAAGTTTAAATTTTGCTATAAACTGTTTTCATATATTTGCTAGGACACCAATACATAATATTACACTAAATATAAATTTTTATATAATTATGTTCGTCATATATAAAGTTAAATATTTTACATTATTTTATAAGAAAATAGAAACTAGTTTCAAAGTATTTCATCAAAAAATTTTATCAATATGAAGATAATTACCTTATAAAGTAAAAAATCTCCATCATTGCGACACCAGCAGTAGATATTTCCACAGGAATATAATCATACAACTTTGGAATATTCTTGTACTTTTCTAAAAATATTGTTTTTAATTAAAACCAATTTAAAATCAAGAAACCTCTATTTTTGTGTGAACGACGATTTTTCCAGTATAAAGCAATAATATTTTCTCTATTACTGTGTATACAGGAGTATTATTAAAATTTGTGTACTTTCTTTTACTACTGCTGGGAATTTCAAACACTGTTTTCGCTCATTTTATGAATTTTTTTATTGTGCCAGCATTAAAAGTATTTTTGAAGGTTTACGTGATATAAACAACTACTGTATTTCTAGAAAGGTATAATCGATTTATGACACGAAACCGAGATGAAATATGACGGATCGCTCTAACCTAACCTAACCAAATTCGGACTTTCCGTGTGTTTATATCCTTTCATTCAATAGTGTCATAAGATCACAGTGCAGCTATACTTTCGTTCAATAACTGTCAACTGTCACACCTGGGAGTTAAACATCTGTTAAGTTCTCAGGCCTAATAAAGACGCTTTCTCATCACCTTTCGACCTAGTATCGCGATTTTAACAGTTCAACATTAGACAAGAAGAAAAAGTGAGTCAGTCTTCGTCAGTTCTTTCATCGGATTACTTCTACGTAGGGTTTCTCATTTCCCGGTCTTTTGCTTGTCCCGGGATCCCGGGATAAAAGTGAACTGTTTCCCGGAATCCCGGGAAATCCCGGGATAGAATTAATTATTTTTAAGGTATACAAAATATCTTGAAATCAAATGATATAATTATTTTCCATTTTTTAAAGTAATTTTAAAGTTCTGTAACCTCCAAAATCATATTAATAATGCTGTGTTAGGTCTATAGGCCTATAATAAAAATTACCTTTAAATAACGTAGAAATTTTCACAAATAGAAAAAAATTAATTAAAGTTTGCTGGAAACTGCATACAACAACAACAACAAAAAAATGTTTTGAGTTGAGTTAAAAATTAAAAAAAAAATGAACTTCTAATTTAGAAGGTATTTTTCGTTTTTTAAATAAAATATAATACAAAATATTGAAAACTTTTATAAGATTTTAAAAAGCAAAGATGGTCAATACTCCGATAACTCACTCTAATTTTTATTTTAGTAATGAAAAGTCTCGCCACCGAGAATGCCCTTTCCGATTCAATTGATGGGATTGGAATAGTGTTTAATGCATTTAAGAGAAGACAGATATTATGTGTTTTTTCACCTGTAGCCTGGAAGATTTCGAGTTCGTTTTCGAGGTTGTAATACTTCTTTTGCTCTCTAGTATTCTTCATTTGTCTACTTCGACTGCTTTAATAGAAACATCAAGCTTATAGCCCAATAATTCGTCAGTTAGTTTGTCTTTGATCATCAGGTTTACGAAGAAAAACTTCGTACTTACAGACATCGTACAGCATGGTGTTACGCGTTATCGAAGCTATTGGGCATGGTTAAAAATTAAGACAGCATAAGCACAATTATTCCAGATATTACAGGTTTCAACAAGTAAAGAATTTTGAATAATCAATGTATATATCAAAATTATACATATATCAATGTATATATGTGTACTTTTGAATAATCAATGTATATAATAAATAATAATCAATATATAGCTTATTTGTGTCATGACACAAATAAGCTATATATTGATTATTGACCATTTGTGACATGCTATAACGGGCAAAAATTTAAAAAAACTAATAGGTAGGTTTAAAATTAATAAATACAAATGTATTCTGACAGTGAATGAGTTAATTATGCTTTCTATTTGCAAAATTCCTCAACCTTAACACAAAATAAGAAAAAAAGTGAATTTTTAAGAAATTTGCGGGATTTCCCGAGATATTTCCCGGGTTAAAAAAACAACCGGGATCCCGGGATCCCGGAAACCCTACTTCTACGTAATATCTATGCTTCTTGGGATACTGCTTCGCTTTTGAATATCAAGAATCGCCTAATATCAAAGGAAAAAGTCAGAACTATTGGACTTAACACTACCTTTCCGAACTTTCTGTCTTACCGATTGGATCCAGATCAAGATATCAAAAAAGGTATTTATCGCCACGCGTAAAAATTGTAAACTTTCTCTCTCGAGAACGCTCAGTTAACTTTACTATTGAACTTTACTATCAACATATTGTAAGATATGTATTCCCTATCATTACCCATTAAACATTTGTTACGTTAATCTAGTCTACGAGGAAGTCACCTTCGGTGCGCTGTCTCTCCTTCTATCTCAACTCTGATCGCTCACACACGCGACCGCTCACGCCTGAACGAAACGGTTTCTGTGTCTAGCCGTGAAGACACAGTGGTGTCAGTCCTGATGAAACCTGTCATTGCGATCTTCACCGACGCGATGTCGACCCTTCAGTCACGTGGTGCCAAAGTATAGGGAGGCCCTTCGGCATTGTCACAGTAGTTTCGTGTATGTACGAAATATTTGCTAAATATCATTTTTTCTCAGTTACACCGGCAAATGTCGACATTCAGCATGCATTGATGGCGAATGTTGAATAAAAATATTTTTATTACGTTAAGACAAAAATGCAAGATTTTAATATGTCAAAATAGGAAAAATCTGTAAATAAACTGTTGAACCTAAAATGAACAGCACATTCTTAATCAGAAAAGAAAATGATACAATAATAAACTTATACATAAATTACGTGATTAACGTTATATAATCTTATTTATTGCAACAACTTAAACTGTTATGGCACTTTGAATTGCACAAAAGTTTCTTGCTTTTACAACTGCATTTATTCGTAGAACACTTCTTTTTGCAATGACAGCGTGTATAGCCTTGCCCTCCACTTTTCAAATTAGCTGCAGCTGCTTCTTTCAGCGATATTTTTTGAGAAGAAATCTCATCTATGAAAAATAAATTTTCTTTACAAACTACGAACTGATTACGTTATTACGTGATTACGAACTGATCTGTTAATGGTGTATTTTATTCGGATATCGCCGACGCCTTACCGACGACCCATCTCGTCCTCCGCTACTCGACCTGACAAACCGATCCCCACTTCACGGGATCATACGAACAAAAACACCATCCAGTGACAAAGTGGGCGGTTTCCACCAAACCGTTGCCGGGAAAAGAGGTAAGACTTTGTCCTACCTCCGGCTACCCACAAAGGATTTGGCGACGGACTGTCGACATCGGCTTCTCAGGTGTCGTTTCGACCTCCACCAAAGCTTATCTATGCTTGTCGACATACACCGGCGATTGATCGAATGTATAATAATATAACCAAATATTCAGTCTTTCACCGACGTATTTTGTATGTGTCGATATTTACCGAAAATTAAAGACATTCTCTAATTTCGGTCTTTCGCAGTAACATATATATATATAATATAGATACATCGAATTTATTAAAATGAAAGCTAATGTTACTAGTGTTATTTCTGCACATTAAAATTACGCTCCTTGAAGTTTCTATTTTTGATTTGAATTTAAGATTTTCCTGGATTTATTCATTTACTTATTCTGAAAACGCTTATTGCACTGTTTAGGAGATTTACATATTTTCAGTAAATTATTAATATGCATGCAATACGAACATATTTTATAGAGTTAAGTGAATAAAACAGCGAAGTGTTTTATGCATTTTTCTTCAATAAATTTTAAGTCTAATATTAGAAGGCAGTAATTTACTATGCTTTTCGCAATGGCATGTTGTCATCTGTGTAATTATCCATACAATCTGCAGGTTACAGAGCGAATAGAAAGTACGCACAAAGACAAAATACCTATCGGCAACACTGTAGAAAACTACATTATTATACTAAACAAGGTAAGGTAAATGATAATGAACACGTTATGAGTTCTAACTTCATCAATGTCCAGGGTAATTCCCTCCCTTTTGCATCCTATTGGCTGCATGGACAGAACACCGATTACAGATGCGAGTTAATAATGCAGTTCTGCTACCCTTTTGCAGTAATTACGCTTATTTTTCATGTAATTGTTAATATTTTACTTCAAGTACCCTCTACTTACTAAGCAAATGCACTTATACCGAAATATGTAAAATAATTTTCTGAAGAAAAGTTTCAAAATTAAGACAAAACGAAGCGACACCAAAAACTTACCTACTGGTTCATTAGGGAGCATTATTAAAATGTGCCCAGAAACTACTATGCAGATTAAAAGAAACTTCATTCCACAGAATGCAGCAGTTCTGTCTCTTATACAATGAGAACGTAGCTTACGAATTGACTGATACAACGAAACGAAGATTAAATTCATTGTGGCAGTATCTAAATATAAAATAATTAAAATTAGTCTTGTAATAGAAATTTCAGCTATAATTAAAAATTATCTGTAGTTAATAAATATAAAAAAATATTACATGAATATCATATAAGAAAACTCAACAATGATTTTTGTAAAACTGAAAAATCTTCAAAAAACATTTGATATAAAGATAAACTTTATTTTCGGATAAAAAGGTTTTTGTAAATAGTTTTAAAAATGGGTCAAACATTAAAATAATTTAGAAATTAAAGACATTTCTTTCATACTTTCCAAAATACGAAACTTGCATTTTAATGTATTATCTTCTGCGATCTCTATTTTAGGTGGTATTATAAAAAGTCCACTTGTTTTAGAGATGAAAAAATCTTATGTTATCTAATTATAAAAAAAATCTACTTATTTACTTATCGCTAACGAATAGGCTAACTAAGAACCCAGGTTATTTAAATAACTTATACAAAATGCATCGCTGAGGCTGGCTTTTATCAAGTTTGAGATACACAAAGCAGAGTCTTTGGTGACAATTGTCAACATTACAATATATTTAAAATAATTAAAATATCTATAATCGTGAGGCAATTAGGGGAGACCGGGGCAAGATCGGCATGTTAAGCTTTACTTAAATTTTGTGTAATAAATACTGCTGTAAACTGAAAAAAAAAAGCTTTGCATATTGTCTATTGGAATGTTACCTTACTATAGAACTGGTTAAAATC